TTTTCAAAAAATCAAGATATTTACTTGACTTGATAAGCTAATGTACCGGACGGATCATATGTAAGTGAAATTTCTTGATGAGCTTTTCCATGTGCATTATCAAAACGTAATTCAGGTAAATTACTCCATCTATTCATATATATATATATAAATCATAACTCCTACTTTACTGAAATAATTTATCCACATACAATTTAACTGTATTCGGATGTGATGGACCATTTTCACCAATAACACATAGGCCAGTTATTTTTACAACACCATTAAATGGTATACTGAAAAGAAATTCTTGTTCATCATCACTTTCAACTACCTTTCAAAAAAAACCTATCTATAATATTTTATTTAATTAAATCAAATACAAAATATACTTTTGATCGATCAAGTTGTTCTTCCCATGCTCGAAATACATCTTTACCTGAATCATCATGTTTTTCATTATAACATTGTAAAATATATTTATCAATTTTTGTATATAAATTCCATTGACCAACATTTGTTTCATCAACATGTTGGCATGTATGCGAACATGAATGTTGCATAATTTATCTGAATACAATAAAGAAAAATAATTCCTTTTTTTTTCTTGTTATATTTTCTATGGAACGATTTATTTTATATCATCAAGAAAATAAATTACATAATGCACAAATGAACAAAACCACAACAACAACATTATTCTATGTATGTCCTTTATGTTTTTTTTTGATGAAGTAATATACTATTTTCATGTCGTCGTCGTTTAATCATTGGATTGCTTGGATCATAAACAGTTAATAATTCAGCATTTGTATAAATATCTTGAACATTATCTAATAATTCTTGAGATACAAAAGTATGTTTTAAAAATGGTGTTTGAACTTTGTCAGCTATTTGTTCTGATTGTGTTACATTTAAAGGTTCACTAGTTTGTTCATCTTTAGCAGTATGAACTTTTACAGGAAATCTTTCTAATAAATCAAGTGTCTAAAAAATTAAATTCGAATATTTTATTCAGTACAAAAATAACTGATGAACAAACTTGAGATTCTCTTGAATTTGAATGACTACTATGAT